TCTACTTGCATTTGCATGCTTTCGAACCGCTAGGTTGGCATGAGCTGGGACAAGCGACAGGCGCTCACTCCGTCACGTGGATTTGATACACTGACTAGCATATGCTTTGGATCTGCAATATATGCTGGAGATAAGAAAGACAAATTTATCACCAAAGCTTTGATTCCTTAGCAAACAAATACATTAAGCAAGTTTAGTGAAAAGATGGATGAACAGTTGCTTTCCAGAATTATCATGATAGTTAATATTTGGCTCCTGTGTATTGTATTAGATTTAGCACCCTTTGAACTGCCTGCTTAGCATAAAACCTGTCTGGTTTATAGAGATATTGTGTCTGTGTTCCCAGCAGGAAAAAGGATGCCAAGCTTTGCATATAGAAGGGCAGCCTGAAAGTTGACAACCCCAGGGGCAGCAGTCAAGTTGGTCTACAGGAGACCCTCTTCTGCTCAGAAGCTGATTCCCAGAAGGTGACTCATTCTTTTCATCAGTTAACCACTTTGCACCCAAACACAATTGTCAGGACTGTTTTTCAACAAAATAATGTGAATGCTCTTGCTCTGAGTCAAATTCAGGGAAGTTTGGGCAAAGAATTTTTGAATTATGATTTTTAAGATGTAAAATTGTTTTATCACCTGTTCAGAAATAGATGACCCTCAGCTGCCCCAGGCTTAAAGTAATTTACATAAACTGAATCTGTATCAGATAAGTTGGGTAAAACTTTTGCTTTACAGACTAGGTAAATGAACTGCAGCCGAATTAAAAGTATTACCTTGTGGATGGAGCAAAGTGTCTTCATTTCAGTCCTGCTTGTGCAATGTCAAAGATCCCTACTTGGTTGAAGATACTGACCTGATTAGCTATTCAGGGTACTCACCATTGTCCAACAAAAGCAACAGCAAAGAGGAAAGAGGTATCCAAAATCCACAAGTGGGCAACATCATGTAAATTAAATTAAATTAAATTAAATTAAATAAATAAACAACAACAACAACAACAACAACAACAACAACAACAACAACAACAACAACAACAACAACAATCTTTATTGGCATAAATCATAAATGCACAAAATATGCAAACTTTTGAGTTCATTAGACCTCTTCATCTGGTGAGATGATAAATAATTGTGGAGGGCAAAAAAGGTATGGAAATGCAAATATTATGCTAAGTAAATAGTGCAAAAATCAAAAGCGTTCAACAAATCTGTGTAGGAGAAACAGCAGTCTCATGTAAGAAAATACGTTGCACTTTATTACAATTTTAAATTGCCCAGTACGTTTTGGGCTGAATATACGGCCTTCTTTAGGGGGGGATTTGGGGGGAATCCCGTTAAGAAACAAAGGCTATTGTGACCATGTTATAAACAACAGCTTCACCAAAGCCATTTATTCTGGACACACTAACCATTTTAAAAAGCACTCAAAAGTACCTGTACATCAAGTTAGCTGCGTTTTGACTTTTTGACTATATTACTGACAAATTACAAGGCAGCATCAAGAAGTATTGGTACATTTTGAATGTGCTGGCCGGGGTTTCTGAGAATTGCAGTCCAAGGACACCTGGGTTACCCAAGGTTGGGAACCAGTTAATGTTTACCAAGAGAGACCTCTGATTTCTTTTAAAATAACACAAAATATGGGGGGGGGGTACCTTAATCAGGGAAAGACAACAGAGCCCCCCTCACATCCTGGCAGGAAGAACACCCCAACACAATCACCACCTTTCTGGACGTTGCATCTATTGCCAATATACATGTGTAATGACTGATTGGATGATGGTGGTGGTGGTGGTTGGGCTGGTAATGGTGGGGGACAATGTGGTGGGCAGGGATGATCGGGCGGGTGATCAGATAGGCAATTAGAAGGGTTTTGAGCAATTCTGCTGTCGGACGGCGATCGGGTGGGGACAAGCATAGCAGTTGAGGAAGCTGGTTTATATCTGAATGAGTGTTGGGTTTCAGTGATGAACTGGAAGAGGGTGAACAACTGAACCTGGGGCTGACTGGCTACACTTCTCCATGAGACACAGGTTCACAGTCTGGGAGTAGATTCCTAGATTCAGCCATGATCCTGGATGCCCAGGCTCTGATGGTGTCCAGGAGTGTGTTTGTACAATTAAAGCTAGTAAAACAGATCTGCAGATTCCTGTTTTTAAAGACTGTTTGAAACCCACAGCTACAGGGACCGTATAATTCCTGTTACAGCAGCTACAAGCTTGCTTCTCATATAAGCCTGCCTGGGCCTTGCAATTTGTAGGAGAGAATCTTCTGACTTTTCCTGCTACCTTCAGAAGCGTATTTGGTGAGAATGTCAGAGAGGACCTCTTTAGTGACCACTACTGGATGCTGGAATTCCTTGCCAAGGAAAGTGAGGTTGGCCAATTTTTTCCTATTCAGGCAGGCTTGAACTGACTGCTAGTATCAGAGGCTTGGAAGAATATGTTGCACTTTTTGTTGTTAACTGTAATTACTGTTTTTAACAGAGGTGCTTCAAATGGTTTTTAACTGGATTCTCCTTGAAAACACTGTACCATGGTACATAAAATGAAATACTCTTTGAAATAAAGTGAAATCCACACGGATGTACAGTATCAGTACTATGTTAGATGTAGCAAACTTAACTGCAATATTTAGAAGCAGCCGTGAGCCCAGGTGAGAATGAAAGCATGTTGGGATGTGGACTTGGACTTGCTGCACATGAAGAGAATGAATCAAACACAGATGAAACCTGGCAGGAACTAACAGAATAATGTATAGCTTTGTATATATAAAAAATTTAAGTGTTGGCAAAGGTACTTCTTATGAAAAGGTGCTAAAATAAGGATGGTACCATATAGAGAATGCAGTTCCTTTAAATATACATAAAGATGGAGAAAGGCTTCTCTGTCTTAATGCATATGGAGTCTGGTGTAAAAGAAGGCATTTTGGTAGCACATTTAAGCCTCTGGCTAGCCACCTGGTAAGTCCAAACCATGGTTCAGCGCTTCTACAAATACACAGCTGTAAACAACACAGAGACTGCGTTTTAAACAAAACAACACATTAAAGGGCAAAATATCCACCATCACTTCAGGGCAAATCTACAAATCACATCTGTGGGAATAAGCTGAGCACTGAGCACATTGGCCATTTGGCAAGTGTTGATGTTGGCAACATTTATAATGGCTCACTTTGGTGTGTGAGCTGATTCAGCTCACAATGCTTCATCCTTTTTCAGAATCCAGCAGCAGTTAGCCCAGATGTTGTGATATGCAGCATTTTATACAATTTGCAACATTTTTTTAGCCCAGATGTTGTTGTGATTTGCAGCATTTTATACAATTTGCAACATTTTGTAGAGGTATTCAAGAGCAGGGAATATAACTGTTTTTCACATGCGCATGATATCAGAGACTATACTGTCCAAAAAAGCTTATGCACATATCAGAGACTATACTGTCCAAAAAAGCTCATGCCACCATAAACTTTTATCTGTAAGGTGCCATAAGACACCCAAATGCATTTTCCTCTCTAGTTGTATACAGACAGAAATCTTGATGTTTTAAGGCTCAGTAATTTACTTCCAGGTTAATTTAGTTTTCAGGTACCCAATGTAGTGTGACGCATGGACTAGGACTCAGGAGACCTGGGTTTGGTGTGACGCATGGATTAGGACTCAGGAGACCTGGGTTTGATTCCCTGACTTGGAAACTCAGTGGGGGAGTGGAACTGGTAGAACCACTGCTTAATTGCCTCACTTACCTTGAAAGCCCTATCTGGTTCGCTTTAAATTGGTTCTGAGTTGACAGCACATAACACTACCTTTGGCTTCACAATGGTAGTGACAACTCATGATTTCAGATCCTTGCATTGTTTCCACTGCAGAACATAACACATACTCATTTTAATACAGACAGATAATAATAATCATGTGCCATCAATGCAATTCTGACTTATGGTGACCTTCTTTATGGTATTCTAGGTACCCATAAGTGGTTTGCTATTCCCTTCTTTTGGGAACATCCTGGGACTATGGGGTTCCCTCAGGTCACAAAAACTGGCTCCTCTGGAATGCCCATGGGGACTGAATTCTGAACCTCTGGCTTTGCAGCCAGATACGTAACTCATTGAGCTACCTGACAGATATAAACATAAAAACCAGAAAGAAACCAACAAAGAAGGGGGCATATCCATGTGCACACTGGGGTGCTCAATAATCCTGTCTATTTGCAACAAATCTGCCCATTTTACAGGCAATGACAGAAACTGCAGACAAAGCTTTGTTTCCCCAAATGGTTGAGTCTTAATCCAGGAATGAGATTACAAGAACCTAATCTCCTGCACCAGACAAATAGACCAGGCTAGGGATAACAGAACATGCCTGATCAAGCCCTACTCCTTCCCTTCACATCTGTTTTTATTTCTTAACCTAAAGAGAAACTTGTTCTGTGGCTTTCTACATATAAAAATGAGGTCCACATGCCGCTCACCTACCTTCTGGGTGGCAAGGGGCACAAAAGGATTTTCTCAACTCCCCACTGATGAAGATGCACAGAAGACTCAGTGATCAATTATCACAGAGAGATGACTAGAGAATCCTCTCTTGCCCATTATGTTCCCAAATGGGTAGCTAAGTGGGATAGGATGGAATCCTATTGTTCTTTACAATCAACAGATGGCAGGATTCCCTCTTGCTATCCCAGCTGTGAGGAACAGTATGCAGGGGAATCTCCTCTACTCCAAAAGGTGGAACTTTGGGGCGAGTCTGGGTATCCTTTAGACCATCTGTGGGCTGGAGATTCTCTTTGTCCCAACATCCAAAATGACCAGTAATATGTACAGTTCGTTGTAGCAAACCCACTTGCCTGTGGAAAAAAATTATCTCAGCATATTCTACACCAGCTTTGTCATCTAAAAACTTACAGGTTCTCATACTCTCACCATATTTTCACTTTGGCAGTAGCCAGAAGAATGACTGAACAAGTGAAAACAAGAACAAAAGTATTTTGTCTGAAGCTCAGAATACTGGCATAGTCTTTATTGAAAATATAAAATATCTACAAAGCCCCTGGCAGCCAGCACAGGAGAATTCATCAAGTTGTACATGTTCTTTTTAAAGACACCAGAGTGGCCAATGTTCGTTATGAAGTCTCTTCTCCATTCTCTCAGAGTTTTTGTTTGAAAGCCTGTGTGCAAGAGCTGCTTTTCATCGAAGAAAATATTATGCAAGGCATGAATAAATTTACTATATTGTAAAATAAACAATGTAAGTAACCATTTTCTGTCATTAATACTTCTTGAAGTAAAACTTCTGAAAAAAATCATGATTTGGAAATTAAAATATATGTAATCACAATATAATATTACAGTACTTATCAGCTACACACAATGCTTACATTGCTATTTGTTTCCTGACAAGGATTTGAGAAATATGCAATGCATATAGCATAACAAAAGAGCATAACAGAGGTTTATTAATTTCAATTTCACTGCTGGAGTTTACAACCTTGGGAGTCGACTCACAGCTAAAGGAAGGATGACTACAGAAATAAGATTCTAAAGTACAGTGTCCTTGTTGCCAATTCCCAGGCCACTGGAAAGGAAACCAACAAGGGCTGCCAGCTGCCAGAAGTGTATTCAACATTTATTTTCTGTACTGTGAGCACCAAAGGCAAAAGAATGCTAAAAAGATAATGGGTGCTTTGGACTTTATTCGCAGAAGGCATTGTTCTGATGTCACAATATGTTCCAAGCATTAGAGGCCCTACTGCCTGGAGCAGCTCCCCATTAAAATAAATGGGAATCTCCTTTGTGAATACTCCTTCATGCACATGGATTGAATCCCACCATTTAAACCAGGCAAAGGCAACCTGGATGGATCTGGTGGTCAATTTTACTCTCTGAATCCTTCTGTGAGCCACACCCCACAAAAATTCCACTTTTAGTTGCTGAAAACTCCAGGTTCTCCTCTAAAATGAGGTACATGGAGAGCATGCACTTTTAGTGGAAAGTCATGCTCCCGATTGGTTTTAGTGTGAAAATGTGTGTTTTTAACCACTGCCACTATCCTGAAATTCAACGACTACCTGGACAGGGCAAATGTTGCCTACTCTAATTTAAACTAACAAGAACTCCATCAGCAGAAAAGATACACACATGAATATCACACACTGAATTAGTCATGGGTCTCTCTGATTTTAATAAAGACACCAAGCCAATCCATGCACCACCTCTCAGCCTTTCATTTGTGTCAAGATGGCACCACCTCAGCATTCTTCCAGCAGAATGCTTCTGAAATAGCAGAAGAGTTTTAAATAAGGAAAGCAGAAAGAATAAATCAAATAATTATCAAGGCACAAACATGACTAAGGTGAAGAGTCCCTGAGACTCTGGCCTGGATCCATACATTTCCTGTCTCTATATAAGTAAATGCTAAGTATTAGGGAAAATATATATAATGCAAGATATTTGGTAGGAAATCTATTTACAGGAAATACAACACTTGCATAAAGTATTCTGAGCTTTTTCCCAACTGTTTTATAAAAAGACCTTTAAGGCAGTAATGTAAAGATCGGTCCATTTTCAATTACTAAGAAATATAGCACTTGCATAAAGTATACTCAGCATTTTTTCAACTGTTTTATAAAATGACTTTTAAAGTAGTAAGGTTAAAAATTGGTCCGTTTTCAGTTTTCAGCAAACCAAGTGGCTAATGCTTTCACTAAATGTAAACTGTATTTAACACAGCTTCGCAGTATTGCTACAATCAGGGTAAATAGCTTTTACCCTTCAACATCTTCATTTATTTATTTAAAATATTTTTACCCTGTTTTTCTCCTTAAAAGGACCCATGAATACTAAATAAATCTTACAGGGTTTTTTCCCTACATTTGTAAAGAACTGCAACTTCAATATGTAAAACAAACCTATTTACTATGAATACTGTGTTGTGAAGCCATATGTTCCATTTCAGCATCTTGGTACAGCAGTTATAAATAGAATGCAATGTAATATATAAGCAAACAATTTTGTTTGTTTACTTCCCAATAAACTCTGGGTCACATAAGCTTTGACATGTCCAATAAAAATGCTGATCTATTTAATGCATAATCTAGTCCATGATAAAAAGGCACCACCTAACAATTTGTTAGTTTTGGGAGGGATGGTGGATAAACATTAAAAACAATGGGGTTAGGACTGGGGCCCCAATCCAATAGTTTCACTGTTTACCTCTTCAGACCTTAGTTGGCTTCAACTGAGGTTAACAACCTCATCTATACTGTAGATGATGCATCCATCAATGAGGCCAAAAGAACATTACAATATGTGTGCATCAGCTATCTATCTGGCTTACCTTTTTTGTCTGAATGCGCTTTATGGTCTTTCTAGTTTCCTGTGACAAAAAGAGTCTTCCATAATCATCATGAAAACGACTGAGAAAATGGGAAGTATAAATGAATATATAAAAAAAGACATTTATGGGGATTGGCTGCGTATTAAAGCTGAAGAATCAAAACTTTTAATATGTAACAACTGCTGAAAGCACAAAGAAGGACACAACTTTCTCAAAGTTCAAGACATACAATGCATCTGAGGCTACACTAGGATAGCATATTTGCATTTGCAAGTTTACAAGACTACTTCTCTAAAATAAAAATAGAAAGCTGGGATCATTGCACGGTAAATCATTAGAAAAAGTTTCGCTTTCTTTTGAAGAAAAACTATAAACATGTTAATGCCAAGAGTATACACGTTTTATAGTACTGTATGTTTCAAAAATGTTGAAAGAAGCCTACTGTAGCAATCTCCACTAACCACTTAAAACAAATGAAAATGGACTTTAAAAGGTGTATTACTTTCCTTAGTTCATTGTGGCCAAATCCAAGAAGGTTAGAGCAAACCACATGTGCACAGACAGAAAATGGATCTGCTGCTTTTTGAAATAGCTGTTCCCATTTGCAAGAGACAAAAAACCCAAAAGCAAAAGCCAAGCTCCATCTCTGTGTGTTGTCCTCTGCTATGCCCCCTTAACATTTTAACAGAAAAACAGTTTCCCTACAGCAATTAAGAGTTGTGACTTAGGAACATTAAACCACAATGGGATTTTGGAGACAACATTATTCATAGTTTAATACACTAATTATAGTTCAGGAAACCCTGGGCAGGAGGCCTCCTTTTGGAGTTTTATGGCTGAAGCCTTCTGGAAGAATTGCAGTCAACATCTCTGGAATTCATTTCTTTTTTTTAAGTGCTTTAGTCAGAAGATCCTGAGTGGAGTAGTTCAGTCAAAACACTACAGAAGTCTCGCATTTAATCTGTAGGAACATGTATAGCCATTGTCACTTGAATTGCTTTGCAAACTGTCTTCAGCATCACTGGCACTGCCACTACTGTCCATTTCTGTCGGAGTGAATTCGATTCCTTCAATGTCTACCTCTAAAATGTAACAGATACAAGTTTCAGAGCCATGAAGAATAATATCAAAATGTAACATTTCACATGTATACAGTCTTTTAGTGTTCAAAGGCTTAAAAATACATATTACAGTGGTGCCCCGCATAGCGACGATAATCCATGCAGCAAAAATCGCTGCAAAGCGATTTCGTCGCTATGCGGGTTTAAAGAGCTCATAGGAATGCATTGAAACCCCTTCAATGCGTTCCTATGGGCTTCAAACTCACCTTTAAGCGAAAATCCTCCATACGGCCGCCATTTTCGCTGGCCAGTGAGCGAGGAATCCGGGCGAAAACACAGCGGGCGGCCACTTTTTTTCCAGGCGGCCATTTTGGAACCGCCGATCAGCTGTTGGGAAAAATTTGCTATGCGATGATCGGTATGCGAAACAGGGTACCGATCATCGCAAAGCGATTTTTCCCTATCTAAATCCTCACAATGCGAATTCAGCGTTAAACGGGGCACCCGTTAAGCGAGGCACCACTGTATTTTGTTATCTCCATGACTGCATTGCAGAGTGGTATGTACAAGCGCTGAGGCCAAAGACAGCTCAATGATTTAGATAACTGGCTGCAGAACCAGAGATTGGAAGTTCGATTCCCCATTGTGCCTCCCTGACAGGAGGTGGATTTGATGACAGATTTTGATGTAAAATTCTATTCATATATTTTTTAAAAACTGTTCAATCAAAAAAGCTAGTAGGGAAGATATAATTAAAAGCTAATTTGCCAAGTAGGCAGAAAAAAAGGGGCTGCACAATTCTGTGTGTGCTGAATGCAACCTATGATTTGGATCTTTGGTTTTTTGAACATTTTGGCTTAACTCCTTTCGAGTCAGCAATTGCAAAGCAACTTAATGATATTTTAACAACTTACATTTAAACAATGGCTGAAATCCTCTTGCTTAGCCATTATATACTACGCAGCAACTAGAGCAGGACTGTTTAAATCAATGGAATTTTACAGAGAGGTTGTTTCACCAGATCCCCACTGATTCAAATGTCCTACTTTGATGCAATTTATAACACTGAGTAACAGGATGATGATGAGCTTAGAACAGCAGAGCTGGAAAAGACCCTATGGACTGACTCCAGCCCTTATCAAGGAGGCACAAGGCCACTATATACTTTATCTTATTGCTGCATGCATTTTGCCTCATATTCATTTCTATCATGACTGATATTTTGCCTCATATTCATTTCTATCATGACTGATATCCTGCACTAAATTTAGAGTTGCTGATGGGCCCAAGAAAAGTAAACACATGCAATAGCTCGCTATGCACATTTTATGCTCAGGGAAAAAAAATCTGCGAGAAATACCCTGTTTCCCTGAAAATGACAGGGTCTTATATGGATTTTTGCTCCAAAAAAAGCAGTAGGGCTTATTTTCAGGGGATGTTTTATTTTTTCATGTACAATCTACATTTATTCAAATACAATCATATCTTCTTCTTCTGGTTGCTGAATAATGGTGGAGGGCGGGCTTTCACTTAACTAGGGCTTATTTTTGGTAGGGCTTATATTACGAGCATCCTGAAAAATCATACTAGGGCTTTTTTTCAGGGAAACAGGGTATCTGCCATAGTGTTTTAATCTTGCATCCTTTAATACAGTTACACTTGCCTGAATTTTAATGAACTTTATAAGCCAATAAATATAATCACATGCTATAGAAGGGCCCCAAAATTTAGCTCCCACTGTGACAGCAGATAAGAAAATCTATTTCTAGTTTAAAAGAAGAAAGCTTTACATTAAAAAAAAGAGCAGGGTGTTGAGCAGTGGTGCAAGTTTTCCATCACCAGACTTATCCTAAATCACCCCAATGTGGCTTCCCCCTGTAGGGCTCTAAAAATGTGCATTAAGTTAAAGTTTGCTAAAGAAAACATATTTTTGGAATCTCACGAAAGTTTACATTGGCATGGAGAAAAAAGCAAGGAAAAATAATTAAATACGGCTTTTCAACTCCCAATTCCAAATAGCTTCTTCTTCTTCTTTTCAAAATGAGGGACTCAATTTCACTTGTGTACATATCACAAAGCCTCTGGATCTGTCAAGTATCTGGTTCATCATTTATGTAAATCAGCACAGCAACCCCTTGTAACTCAAGTTACAATTTGGCGCTGTCTATTGCTATTTGTATCTCATTTATTTTATTTATTTATTTATTTATTGGACTTATATACCGCCCCATAGCGCTACAAGCACTCAACTCAAGTTACAATTTGGCGCTGTCTGTTGCTATTTGTATCCCATCTTCACTAAAAGTCTTTTTGCAGCAATTTAATTGACAGAAACTATAAAACACATTAGGCTGATAAACAGCACTAGTCACAATCACCAAACAAGCTCCATGGCTGAATGGGGAGCCGAAATCAAGCATCCCTGCTCCAAAGCTAACACTTTATCCACTATGTTGCATGGTTAAGAATACACACATTTAGAGAAAAATCACACAAAATGTTGCCATGGAAACTTTTAAACACCTTATAAATTAACTCTTTATTATGAATATAAGATAGCAATTTGAAGAGAGTTGTCTTAGCTTTTTTATACTTCTTTTCCAGAAGGCAGGATAATACATAGGTTGTAAAGGATCCTGCATGTAAGAAAGCAAAATGGTCATGAGCTGGGAGACTGCCAATATCCATCCTAGTTTAATGGTTTGTGTAGTAATTATTTTTCTGCACTGAGAGAACTGCCAAAAAATCCCTCTGCCTCAGTTAAGCCTAAGGTTATTTCCAATATAAGAAGTCAATGCCTATTTTAGAACTACATTTAATGTGCAACAAAATTTTCACACCACTGTCATAGACAGGATTATTCACATTTTCTGTACATGTAGATACACCAGAAATGAACATGTACATATTCATAACTTTTATTCAGATGAAGACTGGAGTTCAGGTGAAACAAAATTCAAGATGAAACTGATTCAACACAGGTAGGAAGTCACTTTAGACTAGGGCCTACTCTGGAAAGAGCGAAAAGCAAAGCTGCACCAGCCATCTGCCATTACTGTAGCATTTTCCAGTACAACTGTATCAAGTGATACATAGCCTACTTCAACTTGCCCGGAAGCCAGATGTTTACAGAGCCTGCAACAACCAGCTGTTTTTGTTTGCTAAGCACTTAGAGAACTAAATCATCTCCATCAGCAGTAAGTTTAGACACCAATTTGGCAGCAATCCTACTATACTAATAAAAGAAACATATTTGTGTTTGAGCTGCAACGTAAGTCTTTTTCTAACAATCCTCTGCTATTTCAATATCTCTGGCATGGAGTGGTCCTTTTGGAAATCTCCCTAGTTTGTTCTGGAAGACTAATTAGGAGGAGGTGGTCCTTTAAATAATCAATTTTCACACTGAAGGGCTCATAATACATGGCGAAACTAAGAGAGGAAAATGGGTTTTTACTATCTAATAAACCAGAAACCAGGGGAGTGTGAAGGGTAAAACAAACGCAACTATTAACTGCCAGTGAGAAGCCACTGCAAGTTACACTGTCTTCTGCATGCATGAGTAGACAACAAGAATTTAGCCAATACTTTTTATCTATGTTTGAACACTATCTAGAAATACCTCAGTAACATCAAAGTGTAAATTACTGTGCTTTGGCCAGAAAGCCAGGAGGGCGCCATTTTGAAGTGCCAGTGGACCGATTGGAGAAGAGGTTAAAACACTGGAAAGGCTGATAGATTTCCAGCCATCTGGACTTGGGAGAGATAAGGTTGATGTATTCCATTTCAAAGCTAAATTATAAACTGGTGCAGCTGTACACTAATGAGTCATGGCATACATACTATAAAATGGTTTTCCACAGTTTGGAGGTTATAAAAATATATTTTGACAAAGAGCAGCCATCTCATGATTTTTTAAAAAGTTTGTCGTAAAGAAATTCACTTTGCACTTCTAAGATTGGAGACTCCAAATCAGCACAACAGTGTACAAGAAGCCAACAGAATACAGTGGTGCCTTGCTTAACGAGCGCCTTGCTTAACGACGAACCCGCATAGCGACGGATGTTTTGTGATCGTTTTTGCGATCACATAACGATATTTCTAATGGTAGAACATCACTTTGCGATGATCGGTAAGCTGTTTCACTTACCGATTTTCGCATAGCGATGTTTTAAAAACAGCTGATTGGCGGTTCCAAAATGACCGCTGGAAAAAATGGCCGTCCGGGCAGCGAAAATGGTGGCCGTATGGAGGATTTTCGCTTAAAGTTGAGTTTTAAGACCATAGGAACGCATTAAACAGGGTTTAATGCATTCCTATGGGCTTTTTCTTTTCGCATAGCGACGAATCTGGATAGCGACAATTTTTCCGGAACAGATTATTGTTGCTATGCGGGGCACCACTGTAGTTTAACAGTGGTAAGAGATCTTCCATAGAGGAAGTCCTGCTAGACAGTATTAGTCACTGTATACAGCATTGAAGTTTTTAAAGCATCTTCAAGACAGTTTGCACAGAACACATTCAGCTGCTCCTATTTGACCATACAGTCAACCCTTGACTTCCGAACATCCCTAGGTATGAACTTTTCAATTTACTAATGGCTCCATTGGCAAAAATTGGCATCGACTTGCGAACGGAGCTCAACCTACGAACAAGGTCGAGGCTCCATTTGCAAGTCAATGGCATTTTTTTGCCAACAGAGCTGTTCGTAAATGGCTCCCTGCAAAAAGGCAGGGAGAAAGGGCTGGAAATTCAAATTTCCCACCCTTTCTCCCTGTCTTTTTGGCTTCGGAGCTCTCAAAGGGCTTCCTCTGATGTCAGGGGGAAAGCCCTTTGAGACCCCCAAAGGCAAAAAGGCAAGGAGAAAGGGCAGGAAATTCAAATTTCCAGCCATTTCTTTCTGCCTTTTTGACTTTGGAGCTCTCAAAGGGCTTTCCGCCCGACATCGGAGGAAGCCCTTTGAGACCTCCGAAGGCGCCGATCGCGGTGACAGGGACCCCCAGGGAGGTCTTCCCTGGTGGTGGGCAAGTCCTGGGAGACCTCCCTGGGGGTCCCCGCCGCCGCGATTGGCACCTTTGGAGGTCTCAAGGGGCTTCACCTTCGGAGGGCTCAAAGGGCTTTCCCCCCAACATCGGAGGAAGCCATTTAAGACCTCTGAAGCCAAAAAGGCAGGGAGAAAGGACGGAACATTGGAATTTCCAGCCCTTTCCCCCTGCCTTTTTGCCTTTTGAAATGCTGGAATGGATTAATTCCGTTCCCATGCATTTCAATGGGAAATGATACTTCGACTTACTAACTTTTTGACATGTGAATGTCGTTCCAAAATGGATTAAGTTCAACATTGGAATTTCCAGCCCTTTCCCCCTGCCTTTTTGCCTTTTGAAATGCTGGAATGGATTAATTCCGTTCCCATGCATTTCAATGGGAAATGATACTTCGACTTACTAACTTTTTGACATGTGAATGTTGTTCCAAAATGGATTAAGTTCGTAAGTCGAGGTACCACTGTAGTTTCATTTTGTACCTTACTTTAATGTGTCATATGTACTATATGTGTAACAGAAATTTCCCCTGTAGATCAATTAACCTTGTATCAAATTTCTCTTCTGTTGCTTCTGCTGCCTGAAATTCCCTTCGTACATAAGCCAAAGCTTAACTACTCTGCTATTCCTCTTTGGTAAACAAACTGCCAAAGTTCTTGAGAGTGAGCTCCCATGCTGACTTGGTCCCTGGCAGAAGGAATTGGCAGAAAGTGATGCCAGTCATGCACTAAATTCCCTGTGACACTCTGCTGTGCACTATGATGTGGATACTGGATTTTGGTCTCAACATACACTTCTCAATAACAAGTGCAACTCTTCTAACAGATTGATGAAAATCTCTAGATGCCACCTACCTTGCTCAGAATCTGTTGAAATTGTTGATCCCAGGCTGTCTGTGCGAATTCGTTCTAGGCCCTGCATGGAAAGCTGTTCCAATCTGCGCTTGAGGTACCGATGTTCTCGCTGTAACTGTTCTTTAACATTTAGAGCTTTTCGGTCCTGTTCTTCCAATTTCTAAGGAGATAAAACCCATCTTTTTGACAATGAAAAGAATCATCTTGTTGCACTGATTATCTCCAAGAATCATAAACATGCAGCAGTCATTATTTTACAAAGGGGAGTGCTTCTATGTTCTACATTCTTTGGTTTTAATATAACCTATTTACGAAAACATTAAAAAGAAAGTACCTTTTAAATTAACGGATAATAACAGCCAATATGGCAAAAATCAGTGTATTAATTAAGCGTATGCCCATATATGCAAATTAATTATCAGGAAATAAATAACAGCAGCAGCAGCAAGAAAACATGTTATTCCTGTGTGGCTGTTAGGTACATCTGTAAAAACATTTAGGCCTCGAACTGGAAAAATTCATCCAAATTAGAATGCTGGGCTTCTGGTTCCTATTGCTATTTTATATTATTGAGTCATCCAGGTGCAATTCAAAGTGCTGGTTCTAACCTATAAAGTCCTAAATACCTTGGGTACAAGCTATCTCAAGGAACATGTCTCCCATAATAAGCCTGCTTGGGTGTTAAGTTCCTCAGAAGAAGCGTCTCTCAGTTCCAGGACCTTCACAGGCGGGTACACAGTGGAGGACCTTCTCTGTTGCTGCACCCAGACTTTGGAACTCCCTCCCACAGGAAGCCAGGCTGGCCCCATTTTTGCTGTCCTTCTGCTAGCAGGCAAAGCCCTTTCTCTTTAGGCAAGCCTTCCCTCAGTGGCTGACTGGCTGAGTAGGATTTCTAGATAGATTGTCATGCATTACTGCTTTGAATGTGTTTTTGGGCTACCGTCTTTTAGTGTGGTTTTTTTTGTCCTTTTTAGTATTTGTATTTTAATGTTGTTAGCCGCCTTAGGTCCTTTTTTAAGTAGAAAGGCGGGTAAAAATATTTTAAATAAATAAAACAAATCTTCAGATACCAACTGTACAAGAATTTTAAATATTACTGTTATCTCTTCACAGGATGAGATTTAAGGATGGTGTATTGAATGATACAATTGTACTCCTATGCTAAAATCCCTTAAATTGCCGAATGTGTCCTTAGATATAAGAGGAGAGTCTGTTCATCAAATACAGTGGTGCCCCGCTTGACGATGACCCCGCCTGATGATGAAATCGCTTGATGATGAGTTTTTTGCAATCGCTATAGCAAAAACGATGGTTCCTATGGGGTTTTTTACTTTTCGATGATTAGGTCCCTCTTTCGCGAACCGAATGCTTGCAAGAAGATTAAAAACAGCTGATCGGCAATTCACAAAATGGCTCCCTGCTATTTTCCGGAGCTATTTCCGCAAGACAGAGATTGCAAAATGGCCGCCCTATGGAGGATCTTTGCTGCACGAGCAGGTATTTCCCCCATTGGAACGCATTAACTGGTTTTCAATGCATTTCAATGTTTTTTCCCCCGTTTGACGACGATTTCGCTTAACAGCAATTTTCCTGGAACGGATTATCGTTGTCAAGCGGGGCACCATTGTATTTGTTTACTGAAATAGTAAAGGAGAATGACTGGCAAAATGACGATTCCAGAATTATGTTGAACATTGTACTAGTCTTCTTTCATGAGAAGCAGCTACACAGTAGTTATGAAGGACATGCAGTAAATTCTCAGCCAGAGACCCCTGTGAAATTACCCTGCACAATTAATAAACCTTCCTCAAATACTAAGTTTATTAATTACTTCAAAATAATAACATTTCGGTATTGATGGAAATGGGATTGAGACTATTTTCAGTGGAGCTTTTCCAACAGCTGCATCTTTATGAAGTATGAAAAATCCATAGTGGCCACCTAAGAGAGTTTATCTAAGAAATAGGACAAACAAGCAAACACGAATTTGTAGTTAAGTATACATGAGCCATATGTCAGTTACACTTCACAGTTCCAGTATGTTGCTATTTTAACATAAAAGGATGGAACAGAATTATAGGTGGAAGAGTTTTGTAAGGCAGAGAACTACTTAACTAGTTGACTATTTTTCAAAGAAAAAAAAAAAGCTGAACTGAACTTGATCTTAACAAGAGTAAGATAAATAAAAAAGAGTAATATTAAATGTGGAAGCCAGTATGATGTAACTTTACCTATATCCCTTGCATTTTGTTTCCCTTCTCTTCTTTGCTCTTTGTAAGGCCTCGTTGGACAGCCACTTTGCTTTCTTGCATTTCCTTTTCTTTGGGATGGCTTTTGTTTCTGCCTCCTGTACAATGTTACGAGCCTCCATCCATACCTCTTCAGGCACTCTGTCCACCAAATCGAGTTCCTTAAATCTGTTCTTCACTTCCACTGTGTATTCATAAGGGATGTGGTTTAGATCAGTGGTCCCCAACCTTGGGCCTCCAGAT